ATAAAATGTAAAAACTACTCTCTCTAAGCGAATGCCATGTTGGATGAATGAAAATTTCAGTTATGCTGTCTGTCTGTTCAGTTTCTTCTTTGTGGTTCTCTATAAGCCCATAGCCTTCAGCATGCTGGGAAAGTACTCACGCTAAACCGCTGGCCTTCGTGTCTTCACCCCCCAGTTTACAGTCTCTATACATATGGGAATACTAGATCTGAACTCAGGAGTTGATTCTCAAACTGTTAGAAACGGTGCCTGGAACGTAGCCCTTCTTCAATGTCTTAGACTCCTGGGATATGCCAGACACTATTGGTCCCTGGTAGTCTAAGACCAAGTGGAACTGGTCATTCTTGGATCTGGGTCAAGGGGACAGGATGAAAAGTTCTGACATTGGAGGTCCTGGAACAGGACTTTTGAACTTGGCTGTACATCAGAACAGACTGGAGATCTTTGAAGAAAAAAACAACTCAATTTAAATGCCTGGGTTCTTCGACTATATCCCCCATGTGGGAAGGAGTCCTGGCTCCAGCCACGCGTCCGTAAGCTTTCTAGGCTGGAGAGGTGGGAAAGTGGCTAAGAACACGTGTGGTTCTTTCAGAGGCCCAGGTTTGGTTGTCAGCACCCACACGTTTGCTCATAACCATCTGTAACTCCAGTTCTTTAAGACGATCTGTGCTGTTTTCTGTGCATGTAGCACACATGCACAAATGCAGGAAAATATTCATTCACACACACGCACATGCGCACTCACACACAGACACAAATACACCTAATTTTTACAGCACTATTTAAAGATCAAATTTCTCCCAGGGCCTTTGCTTCGGAAAGTCTAAAGCTGTCCAAACTGCCCTCACTTGCCAAGTTCATCACAACTGGGAACACTGAAAGCTCGACACCATCTGCAGCTCTCTTGATTTGGACAGAGTTGGTGCAAATCAAAAGTTACTAAGTGCAATTGAATTCCAGAGCAGGGGAAAAAGCCTCGTAGGCAACCTGGTGATATTGGAGGAGCCCTGTGGCGTAGCTCGTCTAGCAGTGGTGTGGCATCATCGTTTCACAACACTGGGTAAAGTGGGATGGAAGGTGAAGGTAGTCTGTTTTATAATTTATAATTATTTCCAAATAAAAAGCTTCAAAATAAAATAACAACAGGTAAGGCTGTAAAAACTGGTTACCAGCAACATTCAGTGTTCATGGGCATAAAGTTTTATATTGTCGACTCAGACTCTGTCAATAAATACCAGTTATGTGGGGACAGAAGGCTAGGGAAACTTCCCATTTCCTGCCTGCATTTATTTATTTACTTACTTATTTTCTTCCTTCCTTCCTTCCTTCCTTCCTTCCTTCCTTCCTTCCTTCCTTCCTTCCTTCCTTCCTTCCTTTTTCTTTCCTCAGGGTTCCTCTAGGCCCCACAAGATGTCAGAATTAACACTGAAGGATGGCAGACAACTTCTCCTTAGGAATCATGCATTCTAATAAGACACTTCCGCTGCTCCAGGGAGGGTCAGTGCTGAGTCTGATTTCCAGCAACACACATACACACACACACACACACACACGGTGGGAGATGCCATGCTAGTGTTACTGGCATGCAGAGGCAGAGGCAAAAGCTGGTATACTTTTGGACATAGGAATCACCAACCCCAGAGCAGGTCACGCCTCCAGGCACAAGGTCCAAAGGGCAACCTTTGTTCTTCCCTTTCTCAAAAGGAAAAGGAGAAATGTTCTGATTACCACAAAGGCCAAGATAATCAGATAATCCAGAGAATCAGGACAGCTCAGCTCCCAACTGCACAGGCCTATAGGACGGCCCATTAGATTCAAGGGTGTGCACCTCCTGCCTTTGATGTGTGGCTTTCACGTCCTCCTCTTCCCTCGGGGAAAGACTGGCTTTCTATCCTTTCATTTTTCCAATCACCGCTCCTGGCTAGGGACATCGGGGCTGTGGTCTGTAACCCTCAGCACACAGACAACTTCTTCCTCTCTGGTCTAAGATAAAATGTTCATTCTTTGACTCTTGTTGACTCTGAAGGGAAGTCTAATTGGGACCGTCCAGAGTTCACGGCCTCTTTGAATTGAGTAAACTTACTTGGGAAATGGGAACAATGCGCCTATGATTAATTGAGGCTTACGGTTTCCTTCTAATCAGTGGGGACAGCTTGGAGAGTAATTAGGGGGTGAATGGGGCTTCTCAACAGAGAGGGTAGAGAATGTCTGTGCTTGGGAAAGTCAGTTTGTCTAGATGTACAGTTTTTTGAAGCGATTCTTCTTTATTACCTGCCAGAGGCTTTCCTGCCTGCACCTCCCAATCTGCTGGTGGAGGCAATTCTAGACCAGAGAAGGCCATCCGCCTGCCTCGCAGGGCCCTGTGGGCTCCAGTCCTAGAGCTGACCTCACTCCATTTATGAGGAAGCCGATGCTTTGCCCTTTCCACTGCTTCTGTTCACCCCCTGCCCTGAACGTCACTTGTGTGTGGGGTGCATGTGTGTGCGTGTGCACAGGTGTGCTGCGTGTGTGCATGTGTGAGATCAGAGAATAACTCAGTTACTGTTTACTTTTCCCTTTCTTTTGGAAAGTTTTATTGATTTATTATTTTCATGTGCGTATGTCTGTGGGTGTCTGTCTTGGTCAGAACGCCTGGAGCTGGAGTTACAGGTGACTGTCAGCCACCCTCTGTGGGTACTGGGAGCCAAGCTCAGGTCCTCTGGAAGAACAACAAGTACTCTCAACTGCTGAGCTATTTCTCCAGTCTTCCCCCTGTAGCTCTTGAGACCGCGTCTCTCGCTGCTGCGTAGGATATGTAGGCTGGTAGGACAGTGAATCTACCTGACAGTAAGAGTAAGTTTGTCCCTGAAGAAGAGATGATATGAATATATATTTTGTGTGCTTGTATACACAGCTAACAAAATCAAATTATTACCTTATTTTATGATAGCCTAATAGAAGTTTTTGCTTAAAAACTATAGGATTGAGCAGAAGTAAAATAAAAATGAGTTAAAACTTTATTTAAGTGTGTTGGTTTCTGCCAACTTGTCCATATTTTATCATAGGAAGACAAATACCTGCAAGAGGGCTTTAAGGAGCAATTGGCACAGTTATCTGGCCGAAGGTTATGCTGTGGGTCCTGTTTGCTAAGGCAGGATGTTGGTTGTTAGTTTTTTTGTTTTTGAGACAGGGTCTCTCTAGGTAGCACTGACTGTCCTGGAACTCAGAGATCTGCCTGTCTCTGCCTCCCGAGTGCTGAGATTAAAGGCGTGGGCCAGTATACCTAGTAAGAAAGGCTATTTTTTATTGCCATTTCAAATGTTTGTGTGCTTTTATTGCTAACTGCAAAACATCTATGTGTAAAATGTTCACGCCGGTCATTTCTACTGCTGTGACAGAAGTTCCCTTTGGTGGGTGTGAGACTGAAGACCATCCTCGGGGGTCACACTATTCCTACAAAAGCTGTAGGAAACTGTGGAGGCTGCTAGGCTTTTCCACAGCATTAGACTGGAATCCTGCCTCCTCCTAAACAAAAAAGAGCTCACTTGTCTTTCTGAGTGCACAGCTGATTGTTGGCTGAGAGCATCCATAACTTCTGCACCTTCCCCATGCTGGGGTTACAGAGGTGTCCCCCAAACCCAAGTTCTGTGGATTGAAGTTAGGCCCTCATGCTTGTGTGTGGATACCTTGTCCAGCCATATACAGATACATGTGTTCACTCTCCCACTGACCAGCACAGACATTGGTTACTCTTGTTTGAGAACTCATCCTACGTTGATAGTCCCACCTCACTCCTGGGGTCTGGGTTGAACTCTACTGTCCTACCCAGCCACTGACCCCATCCTGACTTTTGAGCATTTTGGGAAGACATATCTATATTCCAAAGACCTGGAGGGGTGTGTGGGCATGAATACACACACAGAGGAGACTTCTTAGGGAACGTTTGTTTAAAGTAGGTTATTATTTTGTTTTGTTTTGTTTTCTGGTGCAGGGGATAGAGAAGCAGAGTCTGAGGAACATGGGCGGACAGGAAAAGTGAGGGCAGGCTCTCCGAGAAAGCTACTTCTTGTTCCCAGAGAACATTCAGAGGAGAAACTGTGGGAAGACATGGGGGTGGGTATCTAGGCAGGTCCAATAGTGGGGGAAGGGAGAGCCCAGGAATTGGACTCTGTTTAATAGGCCTCCAGCCATGGGCTTCTCCCATCCTGAATGTACACAGCTGTTGCTTTCCCTTTCTCTGTGGTTTGGTCTTCTGTCTTTCCTGGTCCCACTCATTTCAGTTGTTTGTGTCGAGGAACTGTCGGTACCCGTAGGCAATCACAGACACCCTGTTACAGCAGAATCAAGGGCCGCGCACATCCAGGAAAGTGCTTCACCTCTCGATTTCAACCCTAGGCCTTAGCTTATTCTTATCTAAGCATTTGGGCTGATCTTCACCGAAGTCTTTTGGCAACAATATACTGAGAGGAAAGAAAATAATTCAACGAGCCTATCCCTTCTTTTATTATAAAACATGACCCAAGCTGGAAGGCTGCTGAAAGCAAACACACTTTTCCATCAGATGGGTGATATGAACTTTGATTTTGTATTCTCTATTTCAGCTTAGAATGTGAAACTGCCCAGCTATCATTTTTCACCCTGAATTTATCATCAACTCCACTTCCTGTTATTGTTTCTCCAATATTGGAGAGAAACATTTACTTTCCAGAAGTTTTCATTTAACCTTAATGAAAACCAAACCCACATAGATCTACTTAAAAAAAATAAACATTTCAGTCTGAACACGAATCTACTTGATTATGAGAACGCTGACCTAATAATTTCATAATATTAGCATCTGTCTAATTATATCCTTTGGCCGCTCCAGGCATGATCACCGGCTTTTGAAATTTAGATGGTGAACTTGGACTAACCCCTAGCCCCCACGGGACCCGAGTGACCTGCAGCTGATTTTGCTGTCACAGCTGAGGTAGGGCAGTTTCCCAGCCTGCTCTTTTGTGTGGGCTCTGGACAGCACTTACGTCTCGTCCGTGAATGCGATTCCAAAGTATTCCTTTTCCTTCAGGTTAAAATGAGATGCCACGAGGTCAAGAAGCTCCTTGGCCAAAAGCTTGGGCTGGAAGAAGAACACAAAGGGAAAGGATTAAGTCTCGAGAGACGTTCAGTAAAACACACCATCAACGTGGGCTCCTAGCAATGTTCCCAGTGTAATATCTGAACACGCAGGCACACTCCATAAACACAAATGCCTATTGCAAAATCCAAAAAGGGACATGGATGTAGTTCAGTTGGTAGAGTTCTTGCCTGGCATGAGGAAAGCCCTGTTTGACTCTTGGTGCAGGGTAAAATTGGTTGTGATGAAGAACGGCTGCAATCCCACAGGAAGTGGGGGTAGGAGGGTCAGGAGTTCAAGATCATCTTCGGCTACATAGCAAGCTTGAGGCTAGCCTGGGCTACATGACACACACAGACACACATATACACAGACAGACTAACAGACAGACAGACAGACAGAGACAGAGAGAGAGAGGGAAAAGGGAAAGGAGAGAGACGGAGGTAGGGAGGGAGGGGGAGAACAAGAGAATAGAGAAAGAAAAGGACTGAGAGACACTAGGGTACTGCTGTATAAAACAGCCAAGCCGATGGTCCCAGGTCACAGATGGCGGCTCTGTAAGGTTGATTCTGTCAACAAACAGCACTCTTGGTCTTTAGTGGGGCTGTCCAGCTTGGGGCTTTCCTTCCCCACTTTATGCTGGACAGGATGATGTCTTTTTTTTTTTAGTGGGCCTGTTTAGTGAACACAGACAGACCCTCCTATTCTTAGGATAAGGTTATCCTCTGATACACCCATTACAATCTGAAGATGCTGTTACGTCCAAATGTATTTAATGTGAATACCAGAGTTTAGCAACACAGCACTACAGGTGTGAGCTCAAGACCAAACGGTAAACTTAACGCCATGAGATTTATTTTATAACTAAGTTGCAAATTTCTAAGCATGGGTTTGGTAGAGGATGACCTTGCCTTTCTGCACTGAAAGGTTGAACACACCTGCCACAGTGATCACATGGATAACTGGGCGGGGGGGCTCCCGCTTTCAGCATCCTTAGAGGAGATGGTGGCACATGGCCTGATCCAGGGAAAAGATCCAGATGCAACATTCACAGTACTGAATGCACACCGCTTTTGTACCATTGTTGAGTCCAACATCGGTATGCTGAGCCATAGTGAGTCAGGAACTATGTCTATTTGCTGTGTGGTAGGCATTGTTGCAAGCATTTTTTACACATCTTTTACCCTAATCATCCCAAGAAGTTGTCTATCGTACAAGGCAGAAACCAGCCCAGAGATCAGGCAGCTGTTTCTGCCTCCTCCAGACTCTAGGACCAACAGGTCCACAGTCAAAATCTCCCAGAGCCACATGGGTTTGAAGTGATGTAGCACTTCCTCCCCTGCTAGTTAGAGATCAGTGGGAAACCCAACCTGGATGAACCAATGGAATCTAATGCTCCCCAATTTCATTCCTATCGCACTGTACAAGCTGAGGCTAAACCAGCAGGAAATTCAAGATCGGAAGTCAAACCTCCCTTCGTGGATAGGAAGAAGTCTACCCTGGGGATGCAGAGGGATGCACGCGGCATGTCTCAGAATTTTGCGAATGAATTAGTAAAGATGCTGCAAGATTGAGTTCTGAGCTTGAGCACATGCTGTGGGATGCTGCGGACTCTGCTGCCCGTGCTACTGTTCTTCCCAGAAGATGCTGGGCTGCATGTGATCTATGGGTTGTATTGAGGCAGCAGGCCAACTGCTTTTTAAAATGTTGCGGATCATAATTTGTCCATCAGAATGACTGCCATCTCTTTCAAAGTATTCATAGTCTATCTGTGTTTGCTGTTTCTGGAAGTACTTTGAGCTGGGCACTGTGGTACATACCTATGAACTCCAACACTAAGAAGGCTGGAATGGGGATTCGAGGCTAGCTTGTGCTACACAACAAGATCATATCTTAATATCATTTTTCTTTCAATTTAGGATATTCTTTTTGACTTGCCCTGGAAGCATGTTTTAGATTCAACATCCTTGCCAGCAAGAACTCTTCCAGTACTCGGAATGAATTTAGAATTTTTCAAAAGTCACTTGAGGTCAAGTCTAGTGGGTAGGGGTAGAAAGTCACTTGAGGTCAAGTCTGGTGAGTGGAGAGAGACGAGGTGGTCTCACTGGGTCAGTCTGGTATTAGAAAATGAGGTGTGACTAAAAGGCAGTTGCTGTGGGTTCTTGTGAACTATGGTGAGCTGACTAACTCATTCTTGTAAAGGACAGTGCTGAGATTTCTTTCTGTTTAGGAATGACATTTTAAGGCTATTTGAACGCCCTTGCTTGGCGTGGTGATTTGAATGGGAATGTTGCCCAGAGACTGGTGGGCTTGACACTTGGTCCTCAGTTGGCAGTGCTGTTGGGAAGGTTATTGTACTTTAAGAAAATGGAACCTTGCTGGGGGCACCCATCATTGGAGGTAGGCTTTGAGGTTTTTGTTTTGTTTCGTTTAGTTTTCGAGACAGGGTTTCTCTGTAGCTTTGGAGTCTGTCCTGGAACTAGCTCTTGTAGACTAGGCTGGTCTCGAACTCACAGAGATTTGCCTGCCTCTGCCTCCCGAGTGCTGGAATTAAAGGTGTGCACCACCACCTCCCGGCTGGCTTTGAGGTTTTGTAGCCACTTCCTGTGTGTGTATAAAATGCGATGTCTCTCCTTCATGACTACCAGGCCAGCCTCATGCTCCCGCCGCTACGTCTTCCCCATCACCAGGTACTGTACCTCCTGTGATCCCAAATCAACTCTTTCCTCTCTAAATTGACTTTTTGGGTTTTTTGTTTTGTTTTGTTTTGTTTTTTTATTTTTGGTCAGAGCATTTTAATCATAGCAATGGAAAGTAACAAATACAGTTGGAGAGGCAGACATTTACCCAGGAGGAGGAAGGTGCTCATTAGTTACAGAAATGGTTGGGAGAAAATGCAAGTCATGGTATAAGAAGGAAGTCAGGCATGTGTGGAGGGCAAGGGACATGATTAACAGGTATTGGGTACTTGTGCCCTTTGCCAGTGAAGCCCTTTGAAATGACAGAAAGGGACACATGGAGCAACTTCAACTGACAATGTAACATTCACATCCACTTTATACAGCCATGTCTTACAAAGGATTCTCTGAGGCATTGGCCCTCTATTCCAGACACAATTCTGAGAGCTTCCACGTACGACATCATTATCTAAACAACATAGGACTATCCCCCTGCCAGTCGAGACTTAGAGTCAGCAGATAGGCTCTGCTCGGTCTCAGCAAAGCCAGAATTGGAAACAAAGTCTGGACACACACACTGGAACATTCCTCAGACTCAAAGAGGAACAAAATGCAGATACAGGCTACATGAGTGAATCCTGAAGACAGCTAACTGAAAGAAGCCATAAAAAAGATGAATGCCTTTTGTCATCTCACTTGTGAAGACTAAGATCACGTGATTTCACAGGGGTTGCCAGGGGTTGGAGAGGATGAGGGGTTACGGCTTAATGGTTGCAGAATTTCTGCTTCAGATTCTGACAGAATTTTGGAAATGGTGATGAATCTTCGACAACACAGTGCATGAAGTTAATGCCCCTGAATTGTATGTATATAGAATGTTTAAAATGGTAAATTGATGTGCATATTTACCCCAGTTTAAAAATAAAAAGAAACAAAATATAAGTCCTAGTGTGTCTCAAAGTGGTACTCTTCCTCTGCATTCTGCCCGAGTTTACTACTTCCTGGGTAAGAGGTCCAGTATCATTTGTCATGAAGGACCTGCGCAGGCTATAACCAGCATACTGGCATCACAGATTTACACATCAGCGCTGTGCACTTAGTTAACGTGAGTCTTCCTCTGATTTTCAAGTCTCAGAGCTTTGGGGATGACTTGATGCCCTGAACAATGGCTGCTCTTTGAGAGATGTGTAGGGGCTGACTTTTGGCCCCTCTAAAATGACAAACTCCTGTGATTTCACCTGTCTCCCCAAACCCTTTTTATATTGGAAAATTTACACCGAATAACTAAACAGCTCAGGCAGCCACAGCTGGGGGGGGGGGGGGCCGGGGGGGGGAGGTGACAAACCTGACCCTCTCTGGCGAACTCTGTTCATATCCTGGTGGGGAAATAATTGCTGAAACATGGAGAAATATCAACTGCTTTTCATGAACAGTATGATAGACCCAATGGAAGAAAATCTACCTTAGAAAATCTACCTTAGAAAATCTACCTCAGGGCACCCACAATTTAAAAGCAGAGGAACCATGGCTGGGAGACTCACACACCGTGAGGCTCTGAGCTCAGTCTCCAGAAGGCAAGTTAAGAAGTGTGTGGAGAGTAACCAGAATTTATTCTATACATATAGGAAACTGTCAGATAACTAACTTAATAAAAAGCAAATTCACACTAACCAATGGGAGTCCAACAAGGAAAACAGACCCTGGCACCTTGAGATTACACTGTATGTAATGACCTAATTTCTCTCCCAATAGAAAACACCCATTAGAGAATGGAGGGGAAAAGGTGGGGTTGGCAGTGCAGGCTTGTAATCCAGGACTGAGGACGTAGAGCTAGGCAGACCTCTGGGGCTCCGGGCCAGACTACTTGGACAGCTCTAATTCCCTGTGAGATACTATGTCTCAAAAAAAAAAAAAGTGAAAGGCACCCAAGGAATGACATGGGAAGTTGCTCTCCAAGCTTTTCATGCACACGCACCTATGTGCATACACATACATCTATGTACATAAGCACATATACAAAATACAATAAAAAATACAAATAGAAGAATCAAATCAGTGATGGGGGAGATGACAGAAGATTCTAGAAGACATGGAGGTTGCAGCTCTTATCTTAAATCCTCATAAAACCCCACACATCTCTTTCAGTTGTCAAAGCACCCAGCAACAGCCCAGCATCTGACTGTGTTCATCCTTAAGAGCCAGAGCAGGCCCCAGCAGCCCAGTATCCCTCCCTGTCTATACTGCTGAGACAGTGGGGTCCTCTATTAGCACAGTGCAGAGGTGCATCCTGCCTGACTCCGGCACTGTGTCTCCAGACGTCTTGGG